TGTGTGTGTGTGTGTGTTGAAGCTAGTAGGACTTTATACTGCCTCCTATGAGTTAGATTGCTTTGACAGATCTGCCTTCCACCTTCAAGTCAAACTCTCAGTGCCTTCGAGTCAGCAAGTTGCCAGGTAGTCTAATTTGTTAGTCGTAATGGAATTGGTGAGGCAAGCTCTCTGCCTGGATACTCTGCGGGATCCGGTCTGAACACATGCAAATGCTTCCCTTTTAAAAAGACAATAACACTGGTGTCTTCTCAGGTACTGATAAGATAATACTTATCTGAGCACACTCCAATTTATGAACAGAAATTCATTTCAGGCAGCAATTCTGCTTTTTTCATATATTTTTGTGCATCTACATCATGAATATTTCATTTTATGTTCTTGTTGAATTCAGGTTCTACATGTTAATATTCAGAAAACAGTTATGACCAAATGAAAATCTTTATGTATCTTCATAACTACATTTGAAAGTATTACATCAGCTGAGTGGATCATTATTTATTATATGTGTGTACAATAAAATAATCTTCTAGACTGCAGTATTAAATGTCCTCAGTGTTTTTGATCCAATGACACATATGAAAAAAATGCCCTGTGCTCATTTCCATCATGGCCTATGTTTTAACTTGTGTTATGATGAGCCTCATTGTGCAAAACAAAGAGCCAATAAGAGGAGCGAAGAGTAAAAAGCTTAAAGACCCGAATAGCTATAAGAATGTCACCGGACTGGTGAAGTGAATCGCATAAGAATACTCTCCTCAAAATGCTGCTTTTTATCCTATTTCTCACACGAGTGAGCCTCCACAGCTCTGTTGGCTCTGCTGCCTGACACGATGTGTTCACGCTTCAATGTGCGAAAACATGCAAAGCTTTGACAAGCAATGGGTCACAAGGCCAGGTACGAGACTGTGTTATGCTAGAGAATGGATGAAGGCAATTATCACATCTCAGCTCCAATGCAAGCACAGCATAATTTCCAGACATGACCTTGGGGGTTGTGCAGTCCCACATCACATTTGTGACAATAATATATGGAAAGAATTCCTAATTCACGTTGTGTGTGAACAAACAGCTAACAGGCACTGGTGGGTTCCACTTGTCGCAGATCATAAATGCAGTGAGATTTAGTACACAATAACTCAAAAAACAGCAGCTATGTGCACTAGAAACAGTAAAGAGGGAAAGTTGTGATTCAAATCTTAAATATTAAAGTTAATTTTTTAGTCAAACCATTGCTACTTTTGCTGAGAGACATAGTGTGCAAATTTTAAATGTTTCACAGATATTCTGAGTACAGATGAAGCTGTAATTGGGAACACCCGTATTTTCCGTAATCTATGTAATATAAAAATTAGGGGGACAATTACTCGCCCTCACCTTTAGGTGTGTCTTCATTCAGCAGCTGGAAGGCTGGCATGTTGGGGTTCCATGTTCCTGTGATCACATAGGCCTTCCCATCAGAGCTCTTCCCCATCGACTCCTGTGTAGGTATTAATGCATGGCTTATGTAGTTGTAAACACTGTATGGTTATTATATAAATGCAACAAATTTAAGGTTTTTGTAAAATGATTATTAAAAGCGGTAGATGTAACATTTTGAACAGGCACAACAAATAAGTTTCACAAATATAAACCAATAATAAGTGGGTTAATAGATTATTAACATGCAGGTCTGTTAACTCTGAATATGCTAATTTAGTTCTAACTGAAAAAACAAAAGGGCTGTTATGTTATTGGATAAGGCAGGTACACTACTTTCAACTACCCTGAGGTAATGTAACTATGTCACAAAAAAAGCAATGGGGGGTTCTGCTCACCATGTCTAGTAGATGCATGTCGCTGTTGCAGACTTTCTGTCCTGCACTCAGCAGCATCCCAAAACACCTAGAAGGAAGACACAGAAGGTATAATCACAGATCAATAATCACTAATTCCACTGCGGAGTTAAAGCCTGCATTTACCAGCAGAGTGAGTCAAATTAGTTGGGAGGGAAAACTGTATTATGAAAATAACTCAACTGACCGAACTACAGTACAGACATTGTAATGTTAATGCCTCATTATATTAATATTTCAGGCATTTCATGCATGAAGCTGATACTCTAAAAAGACATTTCAAGAGCAAGTATTACACTTTGGTCTATTTTAGATACTCATAAATATATCATCTTGGCCAAAATTAAAATAATGTTGACGACCTGTGCTGCTCAAAAGAATGCAACCTAGAATGTCTAAGCCCCTTCAAGATGATAAATCACCAAGCTCTCCCTGCCACCGCTGACTGTGGTGCACTGGCCTGAAGGAGAGCTAGACAGGTCGTGCTATGGCATAGACAATAGAATAGTAAAAGACAATAGAAAAATCAAGCAAGCTACAGTGTTACTCTAACACATATCTTAGGTCTTCAGATTCTTGGGGGGGGGGTGAAGCTATCTGTTCCATCATCAATAAGTCAATCCAATCTATACTAAAGCAATGTGGTTTAGGTTGTTTCCAGTTCATCATACCAATCCAGCATCCCTTCAGCTTTAGGTGGGGGTACCATCAAGTGGTCAGCATGGGAATCTCTCAATTCAAACACCACAACTGCATTACAAAAGACTACATTTACAGTTAACCCAGGATGGCTCATACTTGTATGAAAGGTATGGGGCAAGTGTCTTGCAATGTGGTATTTCAACAGGATTTGTAAGAGTGGATAAGAGGACTTATTTATTTATTTATTTTTCAAACAAAGGCATTATTCAGCTGCAACAGAACATAATGTACTGCATCCACACAACTCTTGATGCAAAATCATACAGCATTTCAAAATAATTACCCATTAAGACTGAGGCTTTAACAAAACTGACTATTAATAAAATAAAGTGTTGTCAAACATGGGCTGAACACCTCAGAAAGGATCGGTTCTGAGCACAATAGGGGTTTCCATTGGCACTAAAAATATAGTAGAGGGCAGGTGTCTGTCTCCCTCTGATAGCAATATGAGGTGAGCGACTGAAGAAGAAAAGGGGGAGTGATGAAGATGACCTAGTTCTTTGGTGCTGCCGTGTTGCTAGAGCATGTACACACATATAAATGAGAGAGACTGCAGGAAGTGATTTGAGTACACCAATATTCCTCTGTTGGGGCATTATTTTTATTAGGCTCCGTTTGGGTGGGTTGCCTCATTTTACTTTAACACTTTTTTTGTTGTTCTTATTGCTTTCCCCCTGCAATATTTTGACCACTGAGTGTGTGCACTGTCCTCGTAAGAGCAAGGATTTGGAAAGTCATTGTATAATTTACCATAATGAAGTTTACAACAAGACTACGGATTTTGTGCTGTGTACCCAGCATGTTTCGAGTAGCAGTGTTTTTGAGCTCTACATCATTACCTCCTTTAGTACAGCTCATTTGTCCTGGTGAGACAGCTGCCGCCCAAACTCTGATGGTACAGCACCAAGATAGTTGAAAAGGCAAACCTCTTTTAAAAGCATAGTAAACGGGTTATTGAAAGGAAGGAGAGAGATGCAGATATCTGATGACAGGCAATTCCTGGCTTTTTAAAAACCAAGTGTAAGATTAACTGTAAACCTAAACCTAAACTAATAAGATAAAATTCCTCTTGAAAATGAGGTGAGGAATAAATGCAGTGAGACAACTCACAACAGACCCCAACCCCAACAAAGAACTGGAAGGTTACTAGGACCCTGCCATGCTCATGCATCATCTTTTTTTCAGTGAACCTCACCTCTCGATGCCCAGTTCCTTGTTGCACATTTGTTGAACTGAAACCACAACCTTCTTCTGAATGCCCTGTCGCAGCTTGAAGTAGAACTTATCTCTGTCCTTAGGCACTGGACTGTGGAAAGGAACAGAGGGGGGCGGGGGGATTAATTTTTATTTTGTGTATTGTTGTACAGTGATGTTCTTTGATGTTTTTAAGTGTAGTCTGTGTAACACTTTATTTGAATAGTCCATCTGCAGAGTATTTGTACCTTCTCAACTGTTTCCCTTTATCTGTAAATGTTTAACAGAGTATATGTGACAATTCATGAAAATGCCCTACCCAAGTTGTTGTTTGTTGCTAAACCTAACCAAACCTTAACCACTGTGGTGTAATATAAAAAAAACAATTGTTGAAATGATAAGATGCAGAAATAATATTACTACTCTATAAACCTCTATAAATCTGTAGGCGGACTATCCAAACGAAGTGCTAGCAAATTTTGAATTTACCTTTATGTTATTGTTCTCTGTCTTAGTGCCAGTTTCTTTACTAGATCTTCTTTGAAAAAAAGATTAATTACCTTAGTATGACTAACCCAGTTAAAGATAAAATATTGCCTGTGTTCTCTCAAGTCTTCTCAGTGTATTATATATTATGGGCATCTGATGTGTTATCCAAACATAAGTGGAAAACCAGTCTCTCAAATACTAGATATAATGGCTTGTGAAAATGGAAAAAATGTTTTAGTGTGCTGATAAGCTTAACGCTCTTTAGGATGACTAATAACAGTCAGATAAAACAGTATGGCGGCAGAACATTATAGCTTTCCAACTACCAACATATCTGTGATACCAACAGTCTTAAGCTGATAAGAAACATATACAGTATGTTTTTATGTGTGTGTTTAAATCATATGTATCACAGGGCTTTCCTTAACAGAGGGAATAATGACAATACATGATCATATTCTCTATCATCATCATTCTTTTTTTCACATATAATGTAAATGATATGAAGGTACCATAATGTATAGACCCATTATACTATTAAGTATGAAGTGTGTGTATCTATATATATATCTGTATGTGTGGACCAAGTACCTATAGTTGCCCTTGCCATCATCTTCTTTGATCTCAAGTGTGACAGTGAAGGTGTAGAGGTCGCTGTCGGGTGGACTGGACAGTGCCGTGTCCCTGATGTCTGCCGGCCGTGAAGAACGGCGAAAGGCTGTAGAGAAACTGTACAGGATACGACTGACCTGGATGGAAAAGGAAAAGAACAGAAGCTTTATAGACAGAAAGAGAAGGAAGTCAAGGAAGCTTTGGAGGGGGGTAGGAGGAAGAAATTTTTATAAAAAAAAAAAGAATAAAATCTAAATGGAATTGACTCAATTAAGAGCAAACAGAGAAGAAAAAATAATATGTTGCAAAAGAAAATGAGTAAATAAAATCAATGGGTAAATAGACATTATTATAACATGAAAACAAAAGGATAGTAATAAAGACATGAGTAGAATAGACTGGAGAGTATTGGAAAAGTATAATAGAAGACAACAGTGCCCTCAGCTGGTTTACCAGTGTCAGTACTTATAGGAAGTCATTATTAAAATCAGCATACAGTGCACATGCTGAAATATCTTTTCTTTAAGTTAGTTAGAATGAATTCATTATAGACAAGTACCTACTGATTATGAAGGTGTACTGTATTCATTACTGTTACTGAATGGATGATCGTACTCTCTCTTCTGGTATGTCATGATGGTTTTAAATGATCTGCATCAACATCGTTCACTAGACGTGAGATGTTTTTAAAAAGAAACCAGAGTCATCACAGCCTAGATAGAAGAGTGAAAAACATGTTGAGTAGAATATATGGATGTAACTCACAGCCTCCTTGATGTGGCAGGAGAAGACGTGAATCTGAAAGTCCTCAGAGCTCCGGTAACTCTCGGTGAAGGAGAAACAGTCACTTTCCACCGAACCCTCCCGCCCACGAGCACAAAACAACACCTTGTAAATGGGAAAGGAGGCAATCTCTGTGCCCGAGGCCTGGTCCACAATCCTGGGGAGAGTCATTTTATTAGAAAAGATAATACATTTTAATTTGTAAATGGCCTTGAGAAAAGCCAACCTTTTCTTTTATTTATTTATTTTTTGCCAAAAATCAATGTCAATCTATCCATTTTCTAGATCACTTTATCTCCCTGAGGAAAAATCTAACATTTTGACTTTTATGTTATGTTGTTGAAATTGATATCAGATACTGTATATTACTTTGGGCTCAACATAAGTTCTGTATAGGTCTATCTCAATAAATGGCACTAAACTTTATATTCAACTAAGCTTCCATTCAATTTAGAGGGAAGGCATTTATGTCACGGCTGTCTAGCAGAGCAGAAATATCAACATTTTCAGTATGCTCAAAAAAAGCCATGTCTCATTTCCTCTTTAGTGTATCTAAACAGTTTATCTTTTCATTTCATGACTGAGGATGGTTTCTCTCAACTCATGTACCACTTCATGTGTTCAGTCACTTTTTTATTCATGCTAATCTGTTCTGTTCTCCTAGCTTGTATATACAGCTACTTAATAATAATAATAATAATAATAATAATAATAATAATAATATTTAGTTTCTTTCCTGCTAATTTGCAGTTTAAATATGTTAATATGTTCACAAACTCTACTTTCCTTTGAAACATAAGCCTTTTCAATATACCAAGATCAAAATATACACAGTCTCTGTATTAATGTGTGGCTGACCTGACAGAGCCCTCTGGTCCGCAGGGGACGTGTAAGGTGATGGGGATAGGGATGGCACTTTCAGCCCGCAGGGTGGCCATGGCCCTCTGTGCCTCTGCCTCGTTGCGAGGGGCTTTGACCCAGGTGCAGCCCAGGTAGGACAGCTTGTTGAATTGGACACTGTCCTCCTCCAGCACTGTGGGGCTGAAAGGTGCTGGACATGCTTCTGTGAACAGAAAAGAGGTTGTGATATTGTTGACTTTTCTGAAAAGGTGAAATGTGTCCTCAGAGGTTCCTGTCCACATTCTAAGCTAAATGGTCTGCTTCTCTATTTTCCAGTATAATTTAAACCAGATTTTAACCTAGATAACATTACAATTCTGGCATGTTGTCAAAGCAACAGGAGAACATAAAACTTCCTGGAAGTTTACATCCTGTAAGACTTACAGCTCTACAATAGGCTGGTGCATTTAAGAGGAGAGTAACAGACAAGGAAAAAAAAACGCAAAAACACTACTGAGAAGAAGTAAAGATAAGCAGAATGTGAGAGAGAACCACACAGGAAGTTTGTGGGGGGGTACTTCTCTCAAATGACCTTTGACCTGATACTTACACACTTTGCAAACAGGAAGCAGAACAATGAGAGCAGCAGCTGGACCTCCACTGCTGACTTGCTCTTATTCAACACCACGTTAACCATTTCCTCTAAGTTCACTCAGCAGTAGTGCCGCACAAAACACACTGGCATCACTAAGGACATGAAAAATAGTAAAACTAACTGCAAGTAATTAAATAGTGACATGTAGACTTAATGCAAAACTTTCTGTCTTGACTTTAAAAAATGTCTTTTATTTTATTTTATTTTAATGACCTACCTACAGCACATGAAACTAATGGTCATTATTATTTTCAAGCAACCAAAAACAATGTCGTTATCCAGTTTTAAAGGCAGTCAGATGACAAGATGAATTTAAGAATGTATTTTTCAACATGCTAACTTTAACATACTTCGTTTCCCTGCATTCAACAGCCAGACCTATTTTTACAGCATATGCAATTTCTTTTTAAATAATTACATGTTACTATGCAAAAGCTTTGACACAACTTGATTTCTTGCAGTTTATTGGGCTATACTCCACTGTTAACCACATTACTAATTTCACTGTAGGCCTGGAGCGAGAGACAGGCATGTGCTTCCTTCCTCTTTCACATATGGTATTACTCACTGTTTCGTTTCACCTGAAAGTAAAAAGTTTCACCAGAAAGGTATTGCATATGAGCTTAGGTTACAAATGGTGTGCGTCACTCGTTTATGCAACATACTTGTCCATATACCAATAAACAATTTTTTAAAAAAGGGTGACAGGGTCACAAACATACATCATCCTCTAAAAATGTATTCAAAAATACATACAGAAGTGCTCATTGGACTTTACCTACTGAGAACCTGGGCATGGCAGAACCCTTGTGCAGTGGTTGAAGAGCTGAAGCTGTGTGTTGTGTAGTTGGGGATAGGAAATATTTTTGACTTTAAAAGCAGGAGCACAGAGGGGTTGGAACCTGTTGTAACCCTGGTAGTGCTAATGCTTTGCACCAGCCACTGTGTCAAATAGTGCAGTATATTTACCAGTATTGGTGTTTTTGCACTGATTAAGCTGTCTGGGCCAACCTGTCCTTGCTGATACACACAGCCATGAAGCCAATGTCAGAGAGCTCAAATACCAACCTTGCTAATCTTAGTCAATGGCATGTAAACAGCTACATTTGTTCAGGCACTGGGCTCAATTTAAAAAATGCTATGCAATGCTATGCACATTGTTATTCCCACTCTCTGATAAACCTCTCTCGAAATGTGTGTGAAAAAAAGGCTTACACCTACTTATATTTCGATTAACCCGATACCCCATATTACCTTGAATTGACAATAATGTGAGAAGAAACAATAACAAAAGATATTACTTTTGTTTGCATTATTCTTTAGCTTTGCCCAAGTGACCATGAAGTTGTCCAATTGTTGTCATTTATTGTCTTACATGCTAAATGATAATAATCCAAACCCACTAAAATATGACACACTACATACGCATACTGTCACGGTGACACTGGTGTGTTATGATGGAACTGGAAGAAACATTTATGTAGTAAGTATAATTAGTAGTAAGTTGAGATTTCAGTTTTGATGTATGGTTGAGTGAATGAAAGAACAAACAACATACAGACTGAAACTCCCTTCAAGTACACACAATTACTGTAAGTGGATCTGAAAAGTCCAGAGTCTATACCTGCAGGTCCGGACTCCAGGGCGCGGCTCTCTGGGTCGCTGTGCTTCTCCATCTTTTCTACACTGCTCTTCTCCACCTTCACCTCATCATCATCATCCAACACCTCCTCCATAGCTTTCTCCAGCTGCTCACTCCCATTCCAAGACATCTGAAGGAGAGAGGAAAAGAGTAAACAAATGGGAATGAGGCCAAGGACAGATAAAACAGGATGAAGATAAGGACACATAGCGATAAATGAAGACACAGTGGAGCTTCCTGGATTGAATCAATACTAATCCCACTACAGAACCACATTAAACTCCAGGTACAAACACATCAATTGGTGATCTATACAGCCACACCAGTCCTAGTGGTAGCCAGAGACACATTTGGCTGAGTTAACTAGAAAGGAGGGTGATGAGGTTTTAGCTGCCATGACCTTTTGCAACTGACCAGCAGACTTCAAGTGGTTTCATCAGTGGGATCAGTTTGTGCTATGGGGAAAAGTCTGTCCATGTGTGGTTCTGACCTTGAGTCTCGGTTTGCCCCCAGAGCCTTGCGGTGACCCGGCGGCACTGGACTGTACCAGAACAAACTCCTCACTGGTGACGGTGGCCACGGACTCTGTAGAGCTGCTGACTTTTCCAAGCGAGGAGCTGTCGTCCATGGCTGGTTTACTCAGAGTCGGCTGGGGAGACCAGGGTTAAAGCTCTCCCCTTCCCTCTCCTGTCCTCCCAGCTCCGTAGGAAGGCAGCCTGCATGCACCACAGACGGACCACATTACATTATACAGGTCTTTTTCTGGTATTTTGCTTTGGATACATTTGTATAACAGATGAGGTAGTGGGTGAAAATTCTTATTTGTGAAAACTGATGGATACAAGATTATCTAAGTGATTGAGAGTACTTTCTAAACACAAATTAGGCACATCTGGCTAGGACCTAAATAAACAAGCTTATAGAGGCACAGTCAAAGTACAGTGTACAGTGTGGTTACTGTGCAAGGACACCGAACTACAACACACCCATTCAGTACTTGGACACAGCAAGGACATGCCTGACACTGACCAAACAACTTCCTGGTTATTTAGACCACAATTATGAGTCCGGGCCAAATTTAAGCCACATTAAACACGTAACGTATGCAAATGGTTTGAGGAGCAGATGTGGTGCAGAATGTATCTTTCTACTGGCTACACCTGCAGCGCTCGTAAGGCGTAGGGTGAGCATGGACGCAGGAGGGAGAGGAGCATTCTCAAGAAAGTGAGAAAAGAAAGTGTGATGCAGAGTCGCAGCGGAGGACACAGATACACTGATCCATGTTGTACACACTCATCTCCTCTATTAAATGTCTTGTTATGAACTATGATGAACCGGCCCGTGGGTCACATCTCTTCATCCAGGAGTAGTCCCAACTGTGACTGATGGCGAGCTCTCGTTTTGGGATTGTGTGGGGCATTGCACAGCTATCCGAGTTTGTTTATGGGTTAGTTAACATCTACAGACTACAGTAAGGTATTAAGTTAAGCAAGCTATATTTTCCCTGTCATTGAGTCTGCTATTTTAAACTCTCTTGTCAGCTATTATCAAAGGACGCAGGTGACAGGAAACAATTCATAATAATAGAAACTCTCAAAACCAAACTGCCAAAAAGCTGTAATTTTCTGTATACCGACAGTTTAATTAAAAATAAATATTGACACTTTATAACTAATTTCTGTGTAAAAGGGCCTCATGACTCACGTAAAAAAAGAATATACATAAATAGAAGACTGGTCTATTATTACATTTATAAAGCGGATCTTCATGCCGTATACACACCACTTACACGCTGCTCTCCCACATGGCTTAGCCAGTTTCATTGATTATAGAGGAAGCATGGTGTTGCAGCATATGTTACATGTTCAGTGTAGCCTGCCTTTTCCAGGTCACTCTGCCAGTGTGTCACAGTGTCTGACAGGCCCAAGCTGGCAGCTGAATTTCTGGGTGGTTACATTTTCAACATGCTTTTGATACAGAAGTGTGATAGGTAGAATTCGGCCACCAGAAGTTGAAGTTGCCCTACTCTTTTATTACAGCTGTTTTGGGATTATTGGGTTTTTTGTGATCAGAATGACAACTAACCGAGCAACCACAAACAGTGTGAGAAACTGTCGGACTAGTGCTAATTGTTATGTATTTTACTCTGGCACAGCACCAAAGGACACGCGCTGACAAAGTCTGCCTGCACATCTGTATCAGCCCATTGTCTCTACATGTTACATCCTGCTGGCTGCTGGTATCCTGATGAGCAGCTCTACACCACAAATAAACATAAAATGCCTGCATGCAATGCTAGCCAAAACTTTGTTTTTGAAAAAAGTTTGAAAAAATAAAACACACATAAAAACATATCTAAAGTACTCTTGTACTATTATAGCAAAATGGTGAAGAATTGCAGCTTTTCTATGTTTAATATCATTGTGAACTTAATATATCTGTGTTCCGGACTGTTGGTCGGACAAAATAACAGACATCAGAACGATGAATCAATCAATAGAGAAAATAATGGGCAGAATAATCTATAATCAATGAATTACTTTACTATTTTTATTTGGATGTGATAACAGTAATACTTTTATAAGATTTTATAAGATGTCAAATATAGCGCATCTAGCTATCTTGTTCTTTTCGGAGTACTACTGAAAGTGTTTCAAAAGGAAAGGAGTTATCTTATCAGGGTTGTCTTACATAGTCGAGAACAAATGCATGAAGGGGCCATTCACTGACACACAATGACATTATTACACGCATACAAAAAGCATTTATACACACTTAACCCAGGCAGATCATATTAATACAAACATGTGCACGAGCACGCACACATACATGAGGAAAGCAACTGGGTCATGTGCTCCAATCACACTTATTCAATTACACATAGCAGCGTGCAGCAGAAAAGCGAACACTCCCACTGATTCACTTATGGAAGAAGCTGCAACAAAAGGAACCCAGATAAGAAACACAGGCCGGGCATGTTGGGAAATTATTATGTGTGTTTCATCCTCTAAAGTCAGACTGGATCTGAAGTATTTGGTAAACACGCTCCAGTCATACTGAACTGCCTATTAATTATAATTACTTAATGTTGACTGTTTAAGACCAGAACATCCCATAATCTCCCTCGCTCACATACATTGGCACACAGGCTTTTGAAATGTTATCATGTCAACTATCACAATAAAATGTGGTAGGTGACGCTGACTGATTTATCCATTCAAGAATCCTATTACTGGTGGTTGCTAGGTGATTATTTTAAACCCAGTTATTCTCACACACATACAGTATTTATCCAGATTACACTGTTTCTAAGCTCTCTCGCTCTTGCTGTCCCTGTGTGGCCGGACAGCCGCTTCCTCTTCCACTTTAACTCAAACTGTAGACACAGCAGCAAAGATCTGCACCCAGTCATTACCAGCCTGCTGCTCCAGTAGAATCCCAGTTGGCATTCTTGCGACCCAACCGCTGCCTGTACGGAAACTGTGAGTGGCCACTGGTGCAGTGGAGTAGACAGGCTGAACTACACCCACAGGCTCTGGGTTAACCAACACATTACATCTGAAAGGGTGTGTTTCTATGGGTCGAATTGCTCTGCTGTTTCAGTTATACCAGTGCCAACAGACACACGTGAATGCAGTAATCCCTGTCATGGAGTCAGAGCAGGAAACTTCACTGGCATAGACACCAAGAAGGTTAACTGAAACAACCCAAAATCTACTATCACATTGTATTTGATGACACTTTTATACATGACCCTGTGTACAAGATGCATTAGTGTAAAATCTATGACACTTAAAGGGAGAGTTGTTGGGTGATTGGGTAAACTTTCACGTTTGACCTCAACCAGCGACAGGCAGTGAATTCGGCTTGGTGACTCTTCTGGTTGTAGATCATTAGGGATGCATGATAATTATCAGGGTCGATCAATTAACGACCAATAACGGGATCATTTATATTAATTTAATTAAATTACAGACAGACTTATCAGCCCATAATAATAAGTAAAAGAAGAAGAATAGAAGTGTTTTGATGTACTTTGCTAGAAAAAATAAACTTTTAGAGTTAGAACTGTTGTTGTTGTGTTGTTGTTTTTGTTTTTGTGATAAAAAAAAGTGATGTTAGTTATATTTGGTTAGATCAGAGCTATGAAATATTAAACCATTAATCTTTGCCACTGCAATGTAGCCATTCTTACCATCAGGTGTGTAAAAACGTCTTTTTAATGAATAATGATATATTATCGGTCATTGTTTGTATCAGCCGTGAGAAGCAGGTTATTATCCGTTAGCTGAAAAAAATCCATATTGTGTAATCCTATTGAAAATGATGGGTACATTACTGACTATTGACTCAGTCTAACTCTGCTTTATGAGCCTACCTTCCTGTGAAGAACACATCTGTCCTGCCTCTCATTCACTGAATGATCATGGGACATAAGCACACTGAACAGACCAGTCCAGTCATTGCAGCATGGAAAACCTGTTCAATGGGTGGAAACAATACAGTAATAACAATATTAGGGTTAGGCTGGGTCTGATTTTACTAACTCTTTAAAACAGTATCAACTTGAAAAGCATCACTGATGCAGTCTTCGTTCACCCACGTACAATATCCCTGACTGTGAAGCTATCAAACCGCAGTTTGTTTAACAAGCTAATTACTGGCAATCTGTTACAAAGGTGTCTTTGCAGTCTGGACTGGTAAGTATACAGGGATTAGGTTGTGACACTAGCACTTAGGGTTGGGAGTTCATTTCCCTGTGCGCATTAATGTTCCTGAAAAGCCTTCTGTGTAAAAGCATCCCTCGCCCATCATGGTACAAGAAACCTCAGCCAATCCTAATGTGGGAACAAGACTGAGCCAGCTGACTGACTTTAGCCTCCTTTGCAAATGTGACTGAAACCTGCGCTAAGGTTTTTTTGGTGAACACAAGAGTGTCTGCTTTCTGGTGACACCTTACACCGGTCTCTGAATCACTTCCCGTTAGGTCTGAAGTTATTTTCATAGTCAAATACGTGCTCTCATCCGTTATGGTACATTCAAATGTATGTCTGATCTCATGTAGTGCACTGTTTGTTTCCCACTGTACAGTGTGTAAAACATACAACAGCAACACAACAACAACAACAGACTATGCATTTCTGTAGATCTAAAGAATCAATGTGAAATGTAAGCTAACTCATTCCTGATACACAGCACTGCTTCATTTTCTGGCTGTGTAATGTTACCTCTAATTAAAGTAGCTCCTTCATGACAAAGAAATACCTCGCCATCAAGACGCACAACAAAAGGCCACTTTGTAGGCAACAAATGCTAAAGCCTGGCCTGCATCAGACATCGGATTTATTCCCGTTCCTTCAAACAGCCACAGTCTACTGCCAGTCAACCATGCATGCAGGAGCTCCACAGTGTTTCTAATTATTACCGGTATTTCTCCATGCCGGTCTTCACAGCATAGACCAACGAGAGAAGCCAAGAGAAACAACAAGTTTCATCTCCTAACACATCAGCTTACAGCCATGAAGCATTTTGTCACATGTCAGATAATAGTGAAAAATATTCAGCCCAATTTCTCCAACGTCTTCGTTTTCAAATTTCCAGGCCAACAGTCCAAAACCCAAACATTTCAAGCAGAGTACCTTCATATTTGAAGGACTCAAAACCAAACAACTAAATAATTTGCTTGAAAAAAATACTTTAATAATCTTCAATCAACTGTGAGAAAAGTTGCTGATTATTTTTCTGATGATGGATTCATCGACTAATAATATCAGCTCTACATCACCTTTACATAAAATAAGCTTGAGCTTAAACTATTACCAATATCAGATGGAGCATTTCACAGCCAAACCCCCAACTAATGGATCGTTTCTTGCAGAAGCAGTAGACTAAACCCTTTTAACAACAACAATGTTTTACAGAATGAGAAAATATGCTACTAATCCCTATGAAGAGACTGGGACTTCAAATCACAACCATATAATATTGTGGAGCTTGGTATCACGAGATCATCAATTATGCAGTGGCCGCAGAAAATATCACTGACTGACTGTCAGAAGTCTGTTTCAGCTGCTTCGATTTCAGTTTATTGAGACGCATTTTTGAAACTTTAAACAAGCATTGCTCGGGGGAGGTTTTATGCCGTCAGAGATATCCACTTCAAGGTAAAAACACTGATACTTTTTGTTTACGTCACCAGCCCCACTTCAGTTATGGCCTGTGAATCTCAAGTCTCAAGCGTCTCCTTCAGGTTAGCAGCAAATACAGACCGTGGTGATGATATCATCCAGACAAACCCTGGAGCTGATCCATAGACGGCGGAACAAATGCTGTGACACCATGACAGCAGCTGTGGTGACGTTACTGAGGCATGAGTACATGTTTTACTGCACAGCTGTAAGCCCGTGAGTCATAGTAAACTCAACCGGGTGGACTGTGTCAAACTAAAGCTCTGTGAGATCTCAAAATACCTGAGTTCCTTAAAAGTGTCACCTGGTGGCTTCATTAATTCAGATGTTGATGCTTTGATTTCCAGCAGAAGAGAGCTCTCAGTGTTTGCACACAATGCCTCAGTGGCTCAAAACTAAACCAAATATAGTCTTATTCTGTGTTCATAGCGCATTTTCACATGAATGCCTGCAGTGAGTTGTCATTGCTGTTCTCACTGGTGTCTGCAGGCCTGCATGAAGCCCATCACAGTCTCTCACAGCATCAGCACAGCAGCAGGCTAGCTGACAATGGCAGCTTTTCTCTTTAAACAGCTGCTTAAAAAGGACACAGTAGTAGGTTAGAGGACATTGGCACGGTTTTCTGTCTGAAACGACTTTGTGGCTGCTCAAACACACACACACACACACACACACACACACACACAGCAGCCTGGTGAGACGGACAGCTAGCTAGTGCAAACAACACAGAGAGAGAAATACAGGCGAGAAGGAAATGAGCTAGCGGGAAGACAGCTTATCCAACCACAGCCTTTTCCCTCACCGCGGTAATAATAACAACAATAACAATAATAACAACCTGTAGACAAGCAGCTAGCCCTCAGGACAGGTGAACGCAAGGCTAAACAGGAAGTACCTCTGTGTGCCAGGCTAGAACTGCGAGCGAGGAGCTAAGTTTGGGCTAACGCTAACCAGCTCGAAGTCCAAAACAGTCGGACCACTATCCGGAGGGGCGAGCTCACTCAGCAACACCCCGCTCGGCTCCGGAGGAAAACGACGAGACAGACCGCTGAGGAGGAGGAAGGAGGAAGGAGGAAGGACGTGTGTCTCCTCGCTGCATGTGAAACGTGACACTGGAATGAACACAGGTGTTGATAGGGAGGGAGAGAGGGAGAGAGAGAGGGAGAGAGCTGTCAACTTACTTGTTTTGTGAGCGCCGTGGAGTTAGCTGTCAGAAAGAGTTGCAGAGAAGATCGTGTGTGTTCAAGAAGATGAATCACTCGGGAGTTTGGTGACACGCCTTCCGGTTTGGAATGTTTCACGCATGCGCTTTTACTCCTGCAGGTTGTCTGGCTCACACGCCTCCTCCACTGAACACTTAACTCTATTTAGAG